GATCCTCAGATCTCAGCCTCCTGAGTAGCTAGGATTACAGGCGTGAGTCACCAGCGCCCGGCTTGTGTTTTTCTCTTTAAAGAAGTTGTTGCAGGCTGGGTGCCGCTGACTCACACCTGTAATCCTAGCTACTCAGGAGGCTGAGATCTGAGGAACACTGTTCAAAGCTCGGGCAGGAAAGTCTGTGAAGCTCTTACCTCCAATAAACCACCAGAAAACCGGAAGTGGTGCTGTAGCTCAAGCGGTAGAGCACTCACCTTGAGCTGAAGAGCTGAGGGACAGCGCTCAGGCCCAGAGTTCAAGCCCCCCCGACCAACAAAAAAAAAAAAAGGAGTTGTAATTGTTTTGTTTGTAGTGAGCCACTACCCTTATCCCTCCCATTAGAGTGCCAACCCAACCTAAACCCTCATCTCTTTCTGCAGAGGATGTGGATCCCTCAGTTGGTCGCTTCAGGAACATGGTGCAAACGGCAGTGGTCCCAGTAAAGGTAAGAAACACATTTTAACAGTATTTGACCAAATCTGGAGTGGTAGACTGTGTAGCAAGGCCATGGTTTGCTCCAGCACTGCACATAAAAGAAAGAAAACCCTGTGCTATAAGATAAATATTAAATGGGTGTTGAGCTCTGAAACATTCTGTGTTCCTCTACCACTTTTCATTTTGTGGGAATACTCTTACCCTCTTCTATGTGTAGAGAATACTGGAATATCATAGAAGAGTTGCAGGTGAGGGCTGGGAAGGTGGCTCAGTGGTAGAGCACTTGCCTTGCATGCATGAGGCCCTGGGTTCGATTCCTCAGCACCACATAAGCAAAAAGAAAAAAGCCGGAAGTGGCACTGTGGCTCAGTTGGTAGAGCGCTAGCTTTGAGCTGAAGAGCTGAGGGACAGCACCCAGGCCCAGAGTTCAGGCCCCACAAGCGGACCCCCCCCCCCAAAAAAAAAAAAGAGTTGCAGGTGAAAACTTAAATAAATATAGTACAATTTTTCCCCTCTTAAAATTTTCAGCTCTTAGTTGATTTGATCAGCAGGTGTGGAACTCATGTACTTCAATCTAAATTGACAATATATGCCATAGTCTTGCTCTTCTGCATCTAATAGTAAAGGAGTCTGGAGCCAGGAGGCTCTTTCATTAGCTTTGATGCAGTGTAATAAAGTAAAAGAAAGCTGGGTGCTGGTGGCTCACACCTATAATCCTATCTACTCAGGAAGCTGAGATCTGAGGATCAGGGTTCAAAGTCAGCTCAGGCAGGAAAGTCTGTGAGATTATCTCCAATTAACCACCAGGAAACCAGAAGTGGCATTGTAGCTCAAAGTGGTAGAACTCTACCCTTGAGCAAAACAGCTCAGGGACAGCGCCCAGGCTCTGAGTTCAAGCCCCATGACTGACCCCTTTAAAAAAAAATGGCTTAGTGGTAGAGTGCTTGCCTAGCATGCATGAAGCTCTGGGTTCAATTCCTCAGTACCACACAAACGGAAAAGGCTGGAAGTAGCTCTGTGGCTCAGTGGTAGAGTGCTAGCCTTGAGCAAAAGAAGCTCAGGGACAGTACCCAGGCCCTGAGTTCAAATAATATAATCAAAGTAAAAGGACAGTGGTGGCTCACGTCTGTACCCTAGCTACTCATGATCTGAGTCATGGTTTGAAGACAGCCCAGGCAGGAAAGTCCATGAGACTCCTATCTCCAATAAACCACTAGAAAACCGGAAGTGGTGCTGTAGCTCAAGTGGTAGAGCACTTGCCTTGATCTGAAGAGCTGAGGGACAGCACCCAAGCCCAGAGTTCAAGCCCCATGACCAAAAAAAAAAAAAAAAGTAGAGTTGTGTAACCAACAAGGAATTGCCATTTTTTCTGTAACACCCCCCCCCCAAGAAAATAAATTATTATGCCCATTTCCTACCAGTGCATTTTAGCCTCAATGTATGAGAGGAAGGTATATGACCTTAGGCTAAAGACTAGTCATTTAAATTAGATAGATTAAACATTTCTCATTTGGTGTCAGATGGTGAAAACTTTGCTGTGAAGTGCTAGTTGAGAGCCATTGTGTTAGAGATGACTATTGTAAGGTCTTTTAAACCCTAAGATTTCAGGAGCGTGTACTGGGTTCTCAAAAACAGAAAACCCAGAAGGCCATTTTCCTAGCTCTGGAGTTGAAAACCAAACTTCTGTAATGCTTCACCTCCTGATTCCCCTCTCTTGTCTCCCCTCTCATGGAAAACTACAGAAGAAGCGGGTGGAGGGCCATGGCTCCCTGGGCCTGGAGGAGTCAGGCAGCAGACGCATGCAGAACTTTGCCTTCAGCGGAGGACTCTATGGGGGCTTGCCCCCCACGCACAGCGAAGCAGGCTCCCAGCCACACGGCATCCATGGAACGGCGCTCATCGGTGGCTTGCCTATGCCATACCCGAACCTTGCCCCTGATGTGGACTTGACTCCTGTTGTGCCGTCAGCAGTGAACATGAACCCCACACCAAACCCTGCTGTCTATAATCCTGAAGCTGTAAACGAACCCAAGAAGAAGAAATATGCAAAAGAGGCGTGGCCGGGCAAGAAGCCCACCCCTTCCTTACTGATTTGATATTTTTGGTCATGGAGAAGTGGGGGATTGATTGGGTGGGAATGGGGTGGAAGGGTGACAGAACTAATGAACTAGGGAGGAAAATTTCCACGTGTGCAGTATCGTCTTTGAGAATGTCTCCTGGGGTCCTAAACCATGTAATACTGAGCCCGCAGGT